TTTGTCACTATTCGTAATCCGTTTTCCTATTTTAAAGTCAAAGTACGTTTAGTTGAAAAAATAACCCATGGTAATGGAGATACGTTAGATAGTAAAAAGTTTCAGGCTTCAGAGCCTGTTCTTTTGGCTACTAAAAATTATAAATAGAACTAAAAACTTTAATTCCAATGCTATAGTAGTAATGATCTTCGTAGGATATTTTAAACCCTCATTCTGAAAATCACAAATAAATCAACTTTGACTAGACGATTGTGTGGAGCATCTTCTACGATAAAAATGCTACAGACCGACTGTAATGATTAGAATTTATATTTGTACTCTTAAGTCTAGGTGGAAACTAATTTTTTATATTTTTTGTTTCAGAGTAATAACTTTTGGTCTATATAGCACAAAACTATTCGCTTCCTCTTGTAAGAGATATGATCAGATAAAACGCTTTGATTGACAAGAAATTAGCTGTAAAAAGTGTGTACACTAACTATTGACCATAAGTTTCTTGGGTAATTAAATCAACTGACTAAATTTATTCGTTTTCCTATTAGTCTTGAATACAATAATATTGAGGCAAGTATATCAGTAAATGGATTTTTTTTTACAGTTGAATCAAATGTATACAAAAGTTGGCACTGGGAAAAAGAACTAGTAATATCACTAATAATTTGGCTAAAGCAACTGTTCCACACTAATCATAACAAAGGCTTCATAGAATTATTATCCACAAATAACTCAATAAAAACCAGTATATTGCTACTTATTTACTTCAGACATTTCGATTTATCTCTACTAGTAAATGTCATCAAATACATACATAAATATATATATATATATATATATATATATATATATATATATATATATATATATATATAATAAAACAAAATCAGTATAGTTCCATAATTTACGTCTGTTCTAGCTATTCAATATAAATTGGATTGACAATGAAACTATAGTTCTTTATTTTTTCAGACAAAAAAAGTGGATAAATTAACAAAAAAATTTTTTTTCCAAATTTATTATAATTACTGTTTGTTATTTACACATTATGTACTTTACACTAAGCTAAATAAGTAATATCTGTCAGTAATGAATTACTCTCATTTAATTTTTATCATTTTGGTTTGATTTTATTTTATGGAAGAAAAAGATACCTGTTTAATTAAGCAAATTTAAATTGACCAGAATGAAAAGATGAACAAGGAGGATCAGATGCAGACGTAAACGCGAGGATTGACAAAGCAAGAGCCGAATTCCTACAATTAAAGAACATAACAAACTCAAAACAAGTGTCTGCAAGCCAATATCAAAGTCAAGATTTTCTATACGAACGTCAAGACAGTCCTACTGTACGGAACTACTACTACAACGATCATCAAGAAGGTACAAGTATTTATAAATAGTTGTCTACGCAAAATACTCAACATCCATTGGCCGGATACCATCAGCAATAGCCTTCTCTGGGAGAGCACAAACTAGCTCCCAGTTGAAGAGGAAATTTGGAAAAGACGATGGAAATGGATAGGACATGCATTACGCAAATGATCAAACTGCATCACGAGACAAGCCCTAACTTGGAATCCTGAAGAGAAGCGGAAAAGAGGAAGGCCAAAGAACATATTACGTCGCGAAATAGAAGCAGATATGAAAAGGTTGAATAACAACTGAAAAGATCTGGAAAGGATTGCTCAGGACAGGGTTGGATGGAGAATGTTGATGAGTGACCTATGCTCCTACACGAGGAGTAACAGGCGTACGTAAGTAAGAATGAAAAGAGAAACACTTTAAATGATTTCAATAATACATCAGACATATAACAACTTTTTATGCTTCTTTGTCGGCAATACTTTTTTTTAAAAAAATGAAAAGTTAGTGCACGATATTTATAAAGCATTATGTTTTAGTTTGTTTTTTACCAAAATAGATAAATTGTTATTTTGACCCAAATACCTGTCGAGCGTTTGTTTAAAACCTCATTCTTAACCTACTTCGAATGCTTATGTTTGTAAATATATATACAAGGATATGACTTAGATAACAGAATAAAATCTGTCACAAGTAAATCTTAAAACTTAGGTCTTTTTTTGTTGTTGACTGGTTATATACATGAAGTAGCAATGTTACATTCATTTTTCATTTAAATCCAACTTCAATATATCTAAATGATCAAATCATTTTAATCTAGTTGGATTGATACTTCTTCATTATATATATGAATTATTGAACTTACGTCTAATAATAACCGATCCTAACTAGTGACTGTGATACACTGAACAATATGAATGGTAATGGACTGGAATCTCTAGATTGAATTATTTGATTCACCTACTGACTAGCTCCTGTTGATTAATTCAAATTCATTTAAATTTCGTTTTTACATTTAATAAACTTCTATGAGAAAAAGATGTATTGTAGCAACGACTTTGCTAAATTACTGGTTCAAACCCTGTTCAACTTGCTTTGATTGTAATAGCCTTATAGTATATTATTCTTCATGTGTATATGAAGGGTTATTGAAGTCGATTCCAAAGGTTTACTTGTAGTATTTTTAATTATTAAATCTTATTTAAGAATGTATTCTTTTATGAGGAATGATTATAGTTTCCCCATGTACAAAAGCTCACTGATTATTGTGAACACTTTACATTTTTTTGCATTGTAATATCTTGAAATCTCAGTCCGTAATTATTGAAAGCAGGATACCCATGACAGTTGTTTCATTTATAGTTAATGGTTTTGCTATGTTTAGCTAAGAACGCATTATTTAAAAAAAATCTCAACGATAATCGACATTATTAATTAAACATAACCCACTCCATTTATTTATTACATGGTAAGTTTACCAAAGAAAGTCTAGACAACCGTACGCAAATTTAGTAATAATGTCATTTGAAAATGGCATATAATCTTGGTACAACGAAAGTGTTTAATGGCCCAACGAATGACAAGGGTAAAATCTATACTTATTTCACCACATGTGATATAAATGAAGCATACAATGTCACAATTAAACAAAATTTCCCACAAAGCTTAAATACTAAAAAAACACTACTTCATGAGATGGTTTTTGAACGAATTTGTGAAAGCCGTAAAATCTACGGACTTTCAATGAGATCAAACAAAGAACCTCCTAGTTCAACTATATGTATGAAACCATTCAACTGTTGAGTAAGAATACATTACTTATTGATTTTCAATGATTCCGCAGTTAACATCAGTTCGGTGACTAAAATTGTCTTAATGAAATATTACTTAAGCAAATGTGAAAACACAGAAAGTGCATGTCATGATCATGAAACAAGAAAAATCTTTAATGCAATCTTATTATATTCAAAATGGTGGTAATACTGTACATTTGATTTAACACTACCTATTTAAATGGAAAAGAAACTTTTTTGTATAAATACCGCAACCATATTTAATATATTACTAATTAAGAAAAAACTGAAAATAACCAGTAAATCCAGTTCAGATACTGTAATTTTGACGATCGAAAATATTTACAATCGTGATTAACAATTGTATGTAGGTCATTCTAAAAGTTGACGGTTTAATTCTGACAAAACATAACGCTACACTCGGATAACACATATATTAGAAATATGATTGAGTCTCGGATTTAGCTCAACAGTAGTAGTTTATTGCTGTTAACGATATTCGAAGTGTTTTTCTTTAGCATAACTGGCATACTGGATTCAATCATTTTAAGTTAAAACTTAGTAAACAATGAACCGATCGACGAATAACAGCAGCGTTTTTTTCTTTAACTTTTACTAATTTTGTAATGATGCTTGTCAATGTATTTTCTTCTTGAGTTGTCACTTTTGTGCTGAATATAATATTTATGTGGGGACACGAGATTAAAAACTTGACTGGTTGGTTTTGACAAATTAAAGAACCAAAACACTTATCGCAATTGAACAGATAGAAGACAAGCATGCCCAACATTTAGGAGGCATTGTTCGGGACTGATAACTTATAGCTGAACACCAGTGAATTGAATCAAAATACTGACTGCTGATATTCTACTTGTTCACTATTCTTATAATGATTAAGACGTCTTTATAGAAGTAGGCATATTGAGTGCTTGATTATTTTCGCAAACAGAATCAGTAACACTAATAGCGTGTACTTGTAAACAAACATTACCTTCTCTCGCTTATCACTGCCTTTCAAATTATTTACCATGAAATTCCTGAATTACACAATAACTAAGAGTAGTATGTTATATCCAGGATCAGTATTATTATTAGCTTTATTCAATACTATATTTTTTGTACAATGTAGAATTCTCAGCATGAAGTATTTCAACAAGTTTCCCATTTCTTATTTCTTGATCGGTCCTGACAATAAATGTTGAGTGATCGCCAGCTAAAAGTTAGCAGTTCAGGAATACATATAGTGTAATTCGCTTAAACGTATGAGTTTGTGAACTCAGATTAAGGTGATAACAGCAGCCTGTCTAAATCAAAATAGTGTTTACCGGTAGAAAATCAAATAGTCTTACCATCAAGTTTTGAATCCATTTCTTTTCGACTAAAGGGAAAAGATAAGCGCGCACGTAACCTATAGAACTAGCAGCTTGAAGACACTCAACAAAACCCAAACGGCTTAAGACTACGTATGTAGATCATCATTATGACGATCATTTCCAGACTAAAGAATCCAAAAACATTTGAAGAGAAAAATGATTGAAAACTTTGTATTAATGCATATATAAATGTATTCTTTATTTGTTATCAAATCATCTTCAAACAAACAACGGTGTACATTTGTCGTGAAAGTTAGTTGATTAAAGAACAGATTTACATGCGTAAAAATGATGAAACAAAACCAACAGATAAACGGTTTTACCTTGAATATTTTCACCAAGAAATTTGATGATAAAAAGACAAATTGTGTGTATTGAGTCATGAAATATTTTAAAACAATTAAAGTACTAACCACAAGTACCATTGGAAAAATTACAGAATATATTAGATATTCTCAAATTTTGTTCATTTTCTGCATTTCATAAACAACAAAAACTACTCACATACATTCGATAATTGTGCTACTAATAGTAGTCATAGTAGTAATAACAATGGTATTAACAGTGAATTCAACCAATAATAAAGTATCATTCATATAAATCGAACTAATAGTGATGAATTCAGAAGATCACCATCTTCTAGTGTTTGTGTATCTTCATTTAACTCACGGGTCGGATAGGATGTCATCAATGCAAATAATCTGGAAGCCAAATCTGGTCTTTCACTAAAATTTTGAAGGGAGTAAACCATAAATAAAGATTATATATATATACGCTAAACAATTATATAAGGTTCCTAAAATATTAAAAAAAGAACAAATTTAAACAAATTACCATAAGAAAGGCAAATAAATCATACTGAATAAATAATTTGTGTTACATTACCGAAAATAACAACTATTCAGTAGTGACAAATTTGTCTAGAATGTAACCGACAGTGAAAATTACACCTCGTACCCAATTAGATGAAAAATAAAGTTTAGATGGAAAAATGTCTATGTGTTTAAAGACTAATAATTGAAACCTTGTAATATAAATCTTTGGAAAAAGGTCTTATTCACATAATAATCTGATGCAGCAAAATACTAACCTACCACGGACAGTTTCAGTGGGGATAAACATAAATTAAAAATTCCAAACACATCACTAACAAAATGGTACATAATGAACTATTCTTATTGGATTTACAGAAATTTACCACAGAAAGCATCTAGAAAACTTTAGTTTATTAACTTGAAAAAGTTTAAAATAAAATAAAATTACTCAACAATCTGCTCCGCTTGAAAAAAACCATTACTTAATACTATTACTATTATTAGCTTTATTCAATATTATATTTTTGGTACAATATAGAATTCTTAGCATGAAGTAATTCTACAAATTTCCGTTTCTTACTTCTTAGTCGATACTGACAATAAATAACGAGTGGTCGCCAGTTAGATGTTAGCAGTTCACTAAATCGACATCAAAATAATGTACATTTGTTGGCTGCATAATCCCAGCAACCAAGATATCTTTGATTGAGCCTTTTGTAACTTGTACAACGAAAGGTTGTACACTTTTCAGAAACGCACCTGAATAGGCTATGGGACTAATAGGCATAATGATGCGTTAAAACAAAACAGATAACTTGTTCAAATATCTAGATGGCAAGAACAGGTAACCCAGATGTTCAGGCAGGTCGCTAAATTATTGAAAATAAGAAAATATGATTTCTAAGAAGTATTATTCAAACACTACGCATCTTATTCAGTTGCGAGAGCCTTTGAAAAAACACTGACTTCAATTATCGAAACAAACAAATATAAAGCAAAGGTTATCTCAGGTATAAAAGTATTCTACTTAGTCAGTGATGAAAATCACCAGCCATTAGAAATAAACTACTCCGATGTTGACAGCACCAATAAATTGAATAGACATGAAAATATGCAAACCTAGAAGTGACTGTTATAACCAGACATCTTAGAAATTTATCTATAAATACTTTTCTTAGCAAAATGTTCATTCATATTGGAAGTCTATTCACTCATCACCAGTAAATTTAATAGGTTAAGAAATAGAATTAAACCATTACATACGGAGAACGATTCATGTATCTATTCATGAAACCATCTAATTGCAATCAAAAGGAGCTTATTGGAATTATTTTGCAGTTTTAACATTTAAGGTTCCATTGAAGAAAAAAAACGTTTTGTAACACGTTTATGAATCTTTCCAACAAGATATTTTTTGCTGAAAAAACACATACTGAGTAATAATAGATAGTTTACTACCATTAGAAGTCAATTGAAAAAAAGTAGTGAGATAGACATAAAGTCGTAATACACTTAATTTACTGATTTGGCAAGAAAAAACGATAAACAAGATTACTTCATGACTTACTTATCACACGAATATACTTACATAATTAAAGACAGATAGATATCTGTACCCAACACTCGTAATTAATAGGGTTTTGAGTCTTTACTCTGACATTGGTCAGTTCGATTTTAGTTTAAATCAACCAACCAATCAACGAGAATAATGGATTATTGAAAAGGTGTTTCGCTTTCAGTTTGAAATTCTCAGTAGTAAAAATCTAAAACTCAGTGAAAAATTAAATTCACTAGCTTCGAACTTCGTAGTAACGATAATACTTACAGAGCTTCGGAAAGAATCCCCAAATTTTTATTGAAAAATAGTAAGCAGTAAGGTTTTAATTATGTCATCCAGCGTTTGTCACTTTTGATTCTTGCCAATTTTTCGGTGCTATTTGGTTGACAATAATTTTCTAACTGATGCAAGTCCATATTTGAGCGGTTGCTCAATGGATGAGGGACTTACACATTGAGTGTGGATAAAAGCTAAGCTCACGAATCTGTACATGCCAAATGAGTTATCATTTTTTCCGTATCCGTGATGATAACAGTCTCGTTAACATTTAGTTATCATTAGAGAAACGTAAGTTGAACAGTTTTATCAAAAGATGCATTTGACACAGTGATACAAAAAGTAAATGGACTAAACCAGATTATTATTAAGTATAACTTTTTTATTGTGGCTTGATATTTTCTCTTTTTTAATGTACAGATTAAATCACTCGTTGACTATCGTTAATATAGAAAGCTCTTTTTCTTGATGAAATTAACTTCCAATATTGATTACATGTACAACACGATTGGAAAAAGTCAACTAATTAAATCAACCTACGTATAAAAAAATACTATTTGAATGTTTTATAAAATATAGTGAAACAATTTTCAACACTCCTGTAATTTGACCAGAAAAAGTTGGGTCATTACATGAAAATTACAAAAGTTTGAGGAAATAACATATAATGTATTGTTTAGAAATCATTAAACTTAAAATTACTGTTACTACTACGACTGTCAATGAGTGTAGGGAAATGTACATATCTCGTGAAACTACATCTAATACACAGAAAATTGTCTTGACATAACTATTAAAATAAACCCAAATAATTGTAGATATGGAAGTAATTTAGTGATTAAAGAAAGACACTTACATTTACTGAAGTGTATGTTTGAAGGATAGTTTGGCAACAAAGTAGTAGTAGCAGATTTCAAATAAAATCTTGAATTGAAACTGGCTGAATGATCGTATACTTTTTGAATGAGTTATATAAATTTTAATTAGATTTAAATAAAAATACAACATTTATTTTTAACACTAATGTTTTTGTTTTCACTATGTAAACAATAAAAATTCTAAAATAATGTTAAGTTCTTATTGTATGTAGGGAAGAAAAGTAGGAAATTATAATTTATTTGTGGAATCAGTAAATAACTGTTAACCATTTTTATAATATCTGTTTACATTCCAATCAAGATTAAGTGAATGAATTAAAAACAAACTGAATACTTTTATTAAGATATTGTAGTTTTGTTTTACAATAAACAACAACAACGAAATAAGAGATCTATCTAGTGAAACATAAATTCCTATTCAATACTGAGTATGGCAATTTGGAAAATATTGAAATCCAATACCATGTGCCTTCATTGTACAACTAACACCAAAATTTTATTCGACCCAGACATAATAATAACTAAATACACAACTTGAAACTCGGTAATTTTTAATAATTCTTAGAACCATAGTATATTTTATTTAACAATAAGAAATAATATTTTATAAAAACTCATTAATTTTACTATGCGTTAATAGTCTTGGGTATTATATATATATATATATATATATATATATATATATATATATATATATATATATATATATATATATATGGACGACCTTTTAGCGACGCTAAACTGTCTTTGAGAACGTCCACCTACTTGTGTTAAATGAGGGTTATAAACCAGTATGAGGAATTAGAATTATGATTTACAGTTGATAGTTAGGGTGTTAGAAACTAGATTTAGGGTTTTCATCACGAACTGACATCAGCTATAAGGCCACAACGCCATTTAGCCAATTGGATGAGTGCATTCCGCGCCAAAATCCGAGACCTGTTATCCTAAATCTGATTGACTCGTCCATAAATTATAGTCTCGCCATATATATATATCACAAGAGAATAGCGTAATGAACTAGACATCACTGCAACGATGGATTAACGAGTAAATTTGCAAAGTTTTCGTAATGCTGATTGAATTATGCAAACCAAGTTGCCATATGGCCACTAGTCTAAATGATTCGACATTGTCTGCACGGTTTTCTTGTTAGGAAGATGGAGAGTCCACAGGAAATCCTATTTAACATAGGTTGTATGTTATTTAGGACTCATTAACTTAATAATAACGTTTATGACTTTAGAATGGAATAATGAAGGCTTAAATCCTACAGGAATTACCAGTTTCCTTAAGATTCCAGGCATGCCTAAACGAACAGTAACAATTAAAATATATGTTCAAAAACATCTGAATAACTTAATGATACATTTCAGTGAACTATAATTAACGGTTAGAAAATATATTATCTCATATTAAACTGCATGGAATGTATACTATGAACGCATTATTTTCTTCATTGAATCAGATTATTATGAAACACGTCTAGAATTATGCTAAGAGAGTACAACAACTTGACTGAAGTCTTGAGGATACAACATATACAAAATTATACTGGTTTAATCGACAATGTTTGTTGTATTTTTGCACTGATTTGATTTAGTTTGCACAATATACATACAAGCAATAATTACATTTCAATGAATACTGTTAAAGCTAAAAACAGAACTTATAATGATATCTTGAAATGCAAAATATGCAATCATATAACAAGATTACACAAAACTGTTTTAGTTTTTATCAATTCTGTAGTACAGGTATTAAAAGTAAATAAATCATAGTTTTATGTAGAGGTTGTGAAATCACACTAGCTTACACATCAGAATTCCATATTATATCAATGAAATATTACGTCATTTTTTTGATAGATCATAGATAACGATAATTGAAATTTCCAAACAAAAAAAACAAGGTTGGATTTTCTTCATGTAAAGTAAAAACATTTTACTGATATATAAAATTGCGGAAGTTACGAAATTTAGACTGAGAAAAGAGATCGTGTTACAAAAAATATTAACAAAGAATTTAACCGTGTTTTTGGAAATTATTCTTCAAAATGTAATCAGAGTGTAAATGGAGACAATATCAAGTCATCTGTTCAAGGAATCAATATACTAACAACAATTAGTCACATTCAAAAGCATTCACATTACTCAGTAACTGATTTGAACAATCTCAACATTCTCCTATTTCATGAATTTGTTCATCTCTATACAATTATTATTACAGTTAAAATTTAGGAAACATGACAAACGATTTTCTAGTGAAAATATTAGTACAATTAGATAGTGAAAATTATATTAGTTAGTATTAATAAGGCTATGAACGACTATCCCTAAATGAGAACATAAATAAAAATAATAAATATGAAAAATAATCTTTGAGTTATGCAACATAATGAACTTTACGTTCTTTTATTAACAAAGGTAGACAAAATGAGAAACAGTAAATAAACAACAACAAAGTTGTTCATTATCAAAGTATATGTTTGTTAAACAACCGACAGTTACTCTTTATATTAGTCTAATAAATAGGTAGAAAACTGTATAATTTAAAAGTAATTGGGAATAGAAAATAATCACATACATTCTTACAGTTGTACATATATTGTATTGATACAATCAACGAATATTTTACATACATATTGTAAACATTTTATTTGTTGCTAAAAAGACCTATCCATTGTACAAAATATAGCAGGCAGACAGTAATGCAGCTAATTATAGAAGATAACTTAGTATGACCTAATAATAGTAAGATACTTTTACAATTTCAGAAAACATCTTCCGAAAATGTTGCTTTAGGAAGAGTAATAAAACATCTACAAGAAACCAATGCAAAGCTGAAATAAAATTATCATAATTTTTTATATGTGACGGCTTATACCGTTAGTTGTTTGTCCAAACCAAATTAGGTAGAATAGATTCGAGCTTACCACCCAATGACTTAAAACCCAGTATTTTTTACGTATGAAAAGGAAGAAATATGAAATTTGACAGTGGACATAAATAAAACCAAATCTATTTTCTCGTATAACAGAAAAACCTACGGTTAAAATGACACTGCACAACGAAAATTCAATAACGAAGTATAAAAACAATGAATTACAAAATATAAACCATATACAGTGTAACAAACAATCAATAAGAATTTACGGTTGGAGCTTAAAAAAAACAAGAAACACTAGGCAGAAATTTTTAAACTCATTATCAGAATACCAAGTTGTGAGAATGAATGAATTTAGACTTATATTGAATACAATGGTATTACATAGACTTATTAATCATTAGGCCGAATACAGGAAAGATTGTACTGTGTAAAATCTTTCTAAAAATACAGTCTAACTTAATAAATGAATGTTAACTAATATGCTAACTTTGAATTTCCTTTTCTATACTTCAGAATTTACTAGACAAGAAAAAAATTTAATTAAATTTTTCTATATTTCATCTTGAAAATGTTTAAGATAGATAACACAGCTGGAGTGCACGTTTATAAATATAGAAAGTTGATCTCATAATACACGTTCAATTTTACTTATCAATAATGAAAGTAAACGACATGATGCAATGCAAAAAAGAGAGAAAACAACAACAACAACAACAACAGACAATTGTAATCCAACTACTACATCAGGATAATAAAACAAAGAGTAACAGATTACAGACGTCACTGTTGTTAGTATTCATTAAACAGTAACAAACTCGTTGATTGCTAATTTTCTTACTGATTAAAATCTTTTCTTTCTTTTTAAATAAAATTACAACATATTACATTTTTTTTTAAAAATAAAGTTGAGAGAAAAGTTAACTACTTACTTGACTGTTACTTCATTACACATTTTGTGAATAACAATTGTGTGAGTTACAAAACAAAATGAAATTAGAATTATTGATGATATACATATATTATTGATAGAAGTATCTTTATGGTAATTAAAACTAGTTGTCTTTATATACATGATCATGATTTGATGATTAAATGTTAATTTTTATTACATAGAAACTATGTAGAATTTGTCAGTTATTTATGTAGATTAAGTTAAACTTTGAGTTATACTAATTGGTAATTTACTTATACGTTGAAACGTATTGTTTGTGTGATATTCATTATATCACTATTTAGTTGCTGAAATTTATGAAATTCTGGTTGATAATTCAAACTATCGGTCCATTATATGTGAAAATTATATTTGAAATAATCTCAGTTTTTTCAATCGCTGAGATTATTTCAAATATAATTTTCACATGTAATGACTTCACTTTACTCGGTGCCCAATTTCTGTCAAACTATACGTTTTAATCTTGACGAATATTCGTATATCAGTCCATTAGTTAAAATCTAACTGATAAATTCAATAATGTAAATATTGCATCAAAAAAAAAAAAAAAAAACTAAGTATTATCAATATTAAAAGATAAACTTTCAATATATCAAAATATATTATATCCATAATAAAAGAAATAGATAATCAGACAAAGAGATTTTAATTTTAAAAACAATAATAACAATAACAACTAGAACAATACAAATGTATTGAGAGAATAGTCAATGTTTGTTTTGTAATTTTACATTTTTTATACGTGTGTCAGACAGAACAACAATATACCCGTTTTAATAGGTATTAGTAATATTTTTTTTAAAAAAATAACAATAGTAATGACGTCTTGATCAGTTTTGAATTAAAATAATCATACACTTATGATCAGAATAATGAAGAAGTTATAGTAAGCAAAAATAAAAAGGCTAATTGACTTCAACAACAACAAAAAAGAATATCCTAGTGATAATAATAATAATCATAATAAATAACTTCAAATGAATGAACTATTTAGAAATATCAAAATATTATGTAAATAGAAAAGGAAACACAACAGGTGAAATGTTCAATTACAATTATACAAATGATAATAGTTATTAATAAATAAATAATAAATATTATAATTGAAAATAAGATATTTGAACTTATTTTAAATATTGTGTCAAAGGAAAAGAAAAAGAACAAGGGAGGGAATAGTGGAAGTATGAAAATATCATCAGGTAGAACATATTATAAATGGTATTTATAGACAGAAACAGAAAGCCAAGAATAAATATGATCATATTCGATGGTAAACATATGAATAATTGTACACCTGATTATATATATATATATATATATATATATATATATATATATATATATATATATATATACATCTAATTATTAGTAGTGTAATTCACGGTTTAGATACTAGTAATATAGTATTCGAAAAAAAACTTTATGCTAAATATCTGTGGTATAATTAGTTCATATAAATAGTATTAAACGTTTGTATTTAAAAGATGATAAAAGACCATTACAACGATACTTTGTATTAATTATGTAACTCCGTGCTATATGATGTGAAAATAAAGCATTCAGTTTTAAAATAACACGTATTAAAAAGTATGTCTAGTTAATCTAATCGTTTTACGTTACAGAAAGTTTATATTAGATCAAACCATAATAAAACAATAAGTGATTATCATGAAATTCTACAATGAACTACATATACTGAAACAAATAATCTTTTAATTACAAAGAGTTTATCATAATTCCTATTCAACATCATCAGTTCATATCTGATCATGTACATTTGTATATGTCAAGCCTTATAAGTCGAAATTATTTTAACGAAAGCATAATTCACTAAATTCATGTACTCAAAACAATGAAACAAATTAAATAAAAAGATTACTAGTCATCTATGCTTCCCACTATGCATAATATGGTGAAGTAATTAATTCAGTGATAATATAAAAATCCTCAAATATGCATAAAAACCTCAATATGAACTGTAACCAGTTCGTTTACTTTGCTTTCTCCAGTGACAAATAGGCTCTTCTTTTTTCTAGACGACCAATAGAATTCTCCTACTGTGATGAGAGCGAATAACTAACTTAACTTAGAAACGTAATAATAAATATTGCACTGTTTGATTAAATAGTGCTAATCACATGTTAAAAATACTTTGTTAGCTGGCTAATTTTATTAGCATACGAGTTGAAATATACTCATGGAAAACGATCCTTGTAAAAGAAAATTACGTCTGAGTACAAAAGCAGATATTAGGCATCAAATTTATTAAATGGCCACAACTCAATCGAAAATTCGGTAACAAGAAGGCGGAAAATCAGTCTGAACGTTGTATTTTCGGTTTATTTGTGTTAAGGATGAAATTTATGAATTGACAGGGCACTTGTAGAACCACAAAGTGGTGAGGAAATGAAACAGAATACAAAGAATACTGAAGACAAAAGCTATTACCATTTGGTAAAAAACTTTTTTATCTAAAATCAACAAATATTTCAGATTTTCTTATATCACAATTGAGGTAAATGTAACTCCGGAAACATCACTTGCAAATGATCTTCATAGATTGTTAAACTAAAGTAAACAATTTGTTCTATGGTAAAAAAATTCCATAGAACATAATGAAATTGACAAAAAACTGTTCTCCAACCATAAATGTTTTATAAATTTTTAAGCTACTTATAAGTCATATAACACAAAATGCAAAAAAAACAGCAAAACTACCTGATGATTGCTCTTCTGATATCACCAATTGTGTGAAAATTGTTTAGACGGATCACAAATCTGAAACAGTAAAAGATTAAGTTTCAAGAACATTTTGTATCTAAGTTGCAATTGTATCAGCTAGAGCTAGCTAATCGTCTCTACTCCTTCTTGATGATGCCATCTCTAGATGTTCTGTGAGCATAGTTAGACAAAGCCAGGATAAAACGAAACAAGGACAAAAATAGTTACTTTATGACATTTGATTTTGGGTAAAAATCTTCCAAATTATCATTTGTTGATAAAGGTCTTGTAGGTCATCCAAACCGATCCGATTGAGACAATATTAGGAACACGTCATAGTATAATGACTGACGACCGGGCTATATGCTGTTTTGTATTCTACATAAACAGATAAAATCTACCGACAAGTTGTTCTTATTTGAGCGACATCTTTCAGTGTTCTCAGCCGAGGAAAATGATAATATTCATTTGAGTTATTTTAAAAATGACATATTTTTAACTTAGTGAACTGTCAAAGTTATATGGTTATATAACACTGATCTTTTTTATGCAGATGAGCTAAGTCATTAGACGCGAACTTCCATCGATTAATTTGATTACTTTTTTGTTGACCTTCAGATAGTTCAGTACTATGATTACCAATTAACATGATTAAGTACATCATTTAGCTCGTGGTTACCAAGCTAGAAGGAACTAAAAGTAAGACATAAGTATCTATGCAAAGAAAACTAATGATGAAATAAAAAATGAACTGTTCTGCAGATATTCTTAGAGAGCCATACATGTTTAGGTGAACGATTACGTTTTTATTTTATTTTATTTAAACACATAAACATTGATACAAGGAGGCACCAAATGTTTATGAGACACATAAATCATTCAATTTGTGTGAAGGCTGGAATACTGTCCGGATGCCCAAACCGAAGCAGGTGGTTTTTTAAGGGACCATTCTCCGAGCTTTTGACCTAAAAGTCTAGTGCACAAGGCGGTGGAGCAACTTTAGAGGATGCAATCCCATGGTAGCCGGTGACCAACAATTGGTTCATACGCCATTTGTTCCCACACGATACTGGAGTCCACGTGCACCAATGTTTTGGAATCAGGGTTTTCCAACTCCCCTAGGCGAACTCTCCGTATCCATCAACACGGTTAAAGCGCAGAAAATTCGCTTTCCAACCTCTCAATTTCGTAAACAACACTCCCGCCATGAGAAGGCAGTGAGTAGAACTTCCCTGACGGTGAATGTATACGCGTGGCCATGTGAGAGCATTTCGAGGGGGAGAGCTGACTCTTCCCAAACACAGCCGTACCAGGGCATTCATGAATCAACCTGAATTGGTCTACAAATAACTATTTGAACTGATATTTTGTAGCTTTATAGACTGCTGTTGTGCCTTGGTCTGATCATACAATAAACATCTCAATGGTAGAAGTGTGCCACAGTATACTAATACCTGTAGTAAAAAACATTAGTTCAAAGAAAGGTAATTCGTATGATTTTGAAGTATAGATTAACCAAGTGGTCATTTATTCTTTCATGTTTCACACATAAGTCTTATATCTAAAAAAGTTATTTGTTATTTAAATACGATAAGATAAGTAATAAACGATGGATTTGGCTTATATAAGCTAATTGGAATACAAGCTTAGTATTCAATCAATTTAATAAAGCTAAGTTTATTTACAAAAATCAATACCATTTTCCACATGAAGCATACTGTCAGATACTCAAGCGTTTGCTAATAACTATTCGTATGAAATCTGGTTTCATACATTCCAGTTCGGGGTACAAGTGTCTTTCATGAAAGCGTTGAAATTAATTTAGGACCAAAAAATCAAATAATAAATGAAATAGAGCAAAGAGTAGATTTTACATATAACTTTCAAAGATCCAATCAAAATTATTCTACTAGACGTTATTAATGAGATACTAAATGTTACTGACACAACTTATTAGTACTTTTATATAGCATACAATAAATGGTTTACCTCGATCCATCAGGTAATCGGATCTGAATTTGTGTTACCGGTTTGGTATCGTCTACTGTAACACCAGGTTCATGGTTTTCACTGATATTGACTTTAGTTGGAACGCTTGAGACTAAGTGAGGAAGCGGAGAACCAAGCATTTGTCCTACGCCAGAAAAAGGTATGATCTTAGGAGCAGAAGGAGCCTGCCACCCTTCATGGTGATGATCTTCGAGCATAACATTAACCATACTTCCACCAGCAGATTTCAAAAGTTCCTACAGATAATAGAGTTTTCCATAATCAACTAGAGAACAACATTCAGTTACACTTATGTACCTAATTAAAGAGTCTACATGTAAGGTGATCACACACTTAGTAAATGTTATACAACTACCATCTGGAATCAGATCAAAGCCATGGTGACAAACTACTGAACAACTATTAAATCAACAATAATTAAACTGTACCCTGAAAACCATAATTGGTTTATCCCAACTTTAGACCGAACAGTTCGGCTAAGTTGTTACAATTAGTATTGTAACACGCCTACTTGATTTATTATAAACATTGTATAGGTAGATTATTCTAATCTTCCCATTTATTCTGTCAGCCAAATATTTGCCCCTAACGGTTACTCAGGTGTAAACTTGATCGTATTTCATGCGTGTGTATGGTAGCACCTATTTATCAATCCGCTTCCTGTATTTCTTGCATGACTTATAAAAACAGAGTCACCTTAATATTCTGAGTGGGTATATTACCAAACTCCAATGCTACACACAATCGCTGCATCTTTTGTTGCTTGTCTACAGCTCAATATTAGGACGTTTGAAATACACGTTCTTCAAATACATTTGTTCTTGACTTTTTACATCTTATTTGTTAGAAACGGGATATATTGACGGAATATACACGAAGTTACGCGGGATATACATTTCATTGGTATCATTATCATTCGTGCATATTGGAGTCACTCAACAGACACTAAAAATATCGACGCAATCAAGGAATATATGTATATATTTGTAATTTTCTAGATAAGAATTATTTCCAACATAAATGACGCCAAGATTATGAACTATTAAAGTTAGAGTTTGGGAGAATAGTTGAATGACATAACTATCGTTGCCTTACGCTGTTTTATATCCTTATATGTATAGAGTTTTGTTATATTTCGATGTATACTAAAACGTCGTCGCTTTTAAGAACACGTATTTGACAAAGGAGGACGTGTGCACGAAACTAATGCAAGCTTTTTTTCGAAAACTATTGAGTCGGTAAGTCAAACGCAAAGTAAAACCTGGGACATGTGCATACCGGTCCAAGTTACCATACACTATTAGCACAGTAGGATGAAATTGTTAGGGCAAATCTCAAAGTAGTAACAGTAGAAACAGTATTAATGGTAGTAGAAGAGATTATTAATACAAGATATAATTCGAGAAAATATAATTTTATGAAGAATTTACAAACGTGGGACTTAAGATAAGGTAAAGAGTGAATACGCCTGCGCCATTGCGAGTGATTTTGAGCCATATCGCCCAAATTCTCTAATCACCTGTTACGATGACTGCACAGACCCCTCGACCAGGTAACCTGCACCTACCCACATGACTCAAACTAAGAGCTAGCGTAGTCATGGAATGATCACATGTTTTGGTTTATCCGCTCCTAAGTTTCTCCCAACCTATTCTTACATCAGCCATCAATGTGTGTTCAGGTAGTATATCATATAAGTCACAACCATCTTAGTTGATAAAGATTTATTACTTCATCAACTGATTTGTTATACTTATCTAACACTCTGAATCTAACCTCAGAATCGCTAACTTGATGGTCCCAAAATACACGAGAAATCCTTTGAAGACACCTATGGTCAAATGCTAGTAACCTACAAATATGCTCTGTTTTCAAAGGGGTCTATCCGTTTCAGCTGAATACTGAGAGCATTTCTCAAGGAATTCCATTATCAACATTTGTAGTTAGCATATTAAGGAAATATAACTACTTAAATTCTTCTCACATTACTATGTTGCTAGATAATGACAAAGATATTCTACTTTCAGATTTCTACAATCCCGATGTTAATAAAAAAGTATGAAATTTCATCCAACGTCAAATAATAAACATGATAAAAGGAAAAGACGAGTAATCCTAACAAAAGACACTAACTTCAGGGATTTGACCATTCTGTATTGCATTCAAAAATTCAGAAGCATCTGGATCAGTATATGAACGTAACGGCCCACTGTCTAAACTAAAACCGTCACACCACATTTTTACAACAACGTTTTTTTCAGAGACATCGTTTGTACTGGAACCGCTCGCAGTATTTGCCTCGACCTGGAGGGGAGCACTAAGATCATCACCAAGCCTGAACAAGAGATAAATGAACACATTTGTACGTGATTATTTCATTCTTATCTTTCAAAAAGCGCTTAAACAACAACAGCTTAAACGACAATTAATAAACATGGACATCGCAAACTGAAGAATACAAGCGAACAGTCGCGGCAAATATAACCAAAAGGACTAGTTGCCATGTACGAATTCCATGACTGAGAGTTGGAAAGCACAAATATGAAAAAAATAATCGGTCATGCATACAAAAAGTAGGACTTAGAAAAACGTGTACAAGTCTGATTCTCCACACCTCATATCACCGCACAGAGAGAAAAGAAATAAAACGAAAGGTTAATAAGTGGAAATGATAGTATTTACAGCAGTGGGACACTAAACATAAGAGATGTAGTTCAAAAGGGACTAATGGGATCGAAGAATGAAGTTTAAAAAGTAACACTGCGGGTAAACTTTATAAAACGGATAACAAATACAATCGTCTCGGCGTTAATAAATATAAACCCTATCACTTGATGTCCAACGACAGATTACGAATATCACTAGGGTCTACACCAGAAAGCTAAAATCTCTCAATAAAACATAAAACGGAAGGCAGTAACCTCATGGGCTGATAACATCTTACTGATAACACCTATAAAATTGTTCTTACCTCGAGATGTGAGAAGCAACAAGAACTTCGGAATAGTACTAAAGCCATATTACCAAATACGACAGAATCTGTCGACAGGTATGTAATGAATAGATATCTCATGATCCTAAAGTCACTCAAAAGGATTAACAAACATAAGCCTTCAATATGGTCACAACAAATTGCTTCGGCTAAGGATTTCCGAGATCAGTAGATGGCGGTTAAATATTGTTTTCCTGTTAATTAGATCAGCAAGATTGATAATAATTTCAATGTAGGCGGAAGACTGGCTTTTAATCGCTTTAACAGTGTGCGTAACAATAAATTAAGATTGCTTTTAAGTAGAAGCTATATTTATTTCGAACCACATATGAGAAAATCTCACTATCCCTAATCTGAATTACAGTCTTCGTGTTTTATTGATTTATTTAAATACAGGAACATTGTTACAAATGATACTGAAATATATATATGCACACAATAAAAATGGCATTAAGAAAAGATAGAGGAGATGTGAGTAGATAAATAGAAAACTAATGGTAATAATAATATTAACAACAATAATAATGAAAATAATAATAAGTGATAATCAGAGGGGCAGTTTAGTCAAAGACAAAACAACCAGGAGGAACCATTTCAGTTGAAAAAAGTTCTCTCACCTACATGAAATAAAAGAGGGTAGCGGTAGAATCGCTACCAGCTTATATTCTGAGCCGTATCTGACAACGTCTCAAGACACTGTATCACCAAGAGTCTCAAAACCGGAGATGTGGAGGAATGACAGATCATAGCACCGTATATGTTTCTTTCATACCAGGAAACCATGTCGCGCACTAACCACCTCTTCGCTTCTCCCAACCAATCCCAACGTCGGCAAATAATCCACGATGTGGAATTCGTAGGGCATATCCAAGTCACCGAAGTCGGTGTTTCATTCGGAGACGACGACGATCAGACACAGAAAGTCATCTGATATCCTCAACCCGAAGAGGCCAGGTTTCACAAACATAGAATAAAAAAGCTTTCACCGACGCGTCGAAGATTCGACCTTTCAAAACCAGACTATCATTATGAAAGCGTCAAAGATGGACCAGATTGGTATGAGCCGCTCTGGCCTTCACCGGCACTTATACAGCTACCCAGATATATAAACTCGACTACTTCTATCTGCTCACTACCAAGAGTGAGTGCTGGTTCAGGGTCCTGCAAGTCCTTTAAAAGTACTTTGCACTTGGGAGGTACAAAACGCCTGACATACCTACGGACTAAAAAATGACTAGGTGCGGATTGCATGGCTTGGGTATCATTGCACAGTAAGACAACGTCTTTCGCATACTCCAGGTACGAAAATCATTCTGCAGCACAATCTACTTCGATCAGACCTATTTCCAAAATATCATCGATGGCAAAGTTGAAGAGGAATGATGAGATTGGACAACCCTTCTTAATCTTACTGCCTAAATAAAACAATAGAGAGAGGTGGGTATATGCCCACACACTCCCTGAGGTGTTAGTGTATAGGGTTTTCAAGATGTTAATAAACATATCAGGCATACCCTTCTTCAATTGACAATCCTAGAGAAAAGTCCTGACCAACAAATCGAAGGCCGCCCTAAAGTCAAGAAATGCTATGATTGCTAGCCTGTGACAAGTATGATGGTGGTCTAACGTTTGGTGGAGGGTGAAGATATGACCAATAAATCCTCGCCTGTTCCTCGTGAGTCGATTTTTTCTCGGTTTTGAACAATCTACAAACTATGACGGAAGTCAATAGTTTAGACAAACCCGGAAAAAGAGTTATCCCCCGATAGTTACTGCAGAAACAACATGAACCCTTTTTAAGCATAAGAACAACTATCGACTAATTTTAAGACGTTCAAACACTCTCAAATTACCAGAAATTTGAAAACACCTCAGCCAGTCACCTAATTAGGTCGTCACCATCTTTAAAAAGGGCTGCAGGATGGTTATATGGGCCTGGTAACTTGTGGAGTTGCTTGTGCACTTCCACCTCTTTAGGTGGATCAGTCGTCACCGACCATAGAAGACAGGACATTTCAATCGATGTCACCAGAGTAGCAGACCCATTGAACTGTGACTCGGACAACTTTGTCCATCGTTCAAGATGTCGGTCGGTGTCATTGGTTGGCATCCCGTCAGCTTCACAGATTGTTTCACTCACACAAGACTCCTTGCAGCCAGTGACTCGGATGAGTTGAAGGAGCTTCCAGCAGTAACCAGATCCAGTCGCTGTTTCAAACTCGTTAGCACGCTTCAACCTCCAGGCTTTTTGGTCCTTACGCAAGCTTTGTGTAGGTCAATCGCGTAACAATCCACGGCTATCGTTGGGTTCACAGTTACCCGAAGTAAACCGACGTGCCTCACTGAGTTGTAAGAAGCCCGTAGAAACAATGCTTTCAAAGCGACATGCAAATGTAGTCAGTACTCGTCCGTAAATTCCGGTGGGTCGATAGCTAGCCCATAACTTAGGTTCGTTTGGTATTTAGTGGCAAAAGAATATACAATCATTTTGCTTACACCGATCCGTTTAGTACAATGAATTTGTTGGTTATTGAAACATAAGATAAGATTAGCGCAAACAAGAGCATGATCAGAATTCAGACAAGTACTCCAAAAGGAGAGGCAATCAATCAAGTCAACCAAACGACTCTCCTCTGCGCCTAGATGATCGACATAGACTTCAAGTCTTCGACTAGTACTATAATATCTGCTAAACGCCCTTAACCAGCGGTAAAACTTATCCTTGACAGCATTTGACTACAATCTGTCAAAGCGTAGGCGAAGATAACGAAAAGACATAGTTTCTCACAACAATCTCTTCTCACTTTGATTGAGTTTTCCAATCCAGTAGCGTATAACCAACTGTGAATAGGGATCTAATGGATTTGTGCTGCCTTAGCCCTAGCGCTAAGTGCGACATCAACGCCAGCAAAACTAGACGAAGATATCACAGTGCCCAGATAAACGCACGTGAAACAAGCTTTTTCAAGCGACAGATGGAGAGCGAATTTGTAGTACTTTACTAGATTCTTGAGTGCGGTTCTCAGACAGACAATAGACATCGACGTTAAGACTTTCTAAAGACATAGTCAACCCTATCTGCAGTTCGAACTGCATTAGTGTGGGAACGTTGAAGGAACCCATTTTTAATGGTGTACGTGGTTTCCAAAAGGCTGGTTCATAGTTCATTCAATCAGTGACTTAAGATTGTTTCGATAAAACGGGATTTCTAACATAGGCGAGCTGCTGTATGAGCTGAAAAATAAATGAATTCATGAAGTGGAAATAGGAAGGAACAGACAAGTGATGCAATATAAAAGAAGGACGAACGTAACCGAATAGTTATGAGTATAATTTATGAGAATGAGGATTGACGCAAGCGTAATTTATTCTAGTTGAAGTTATTATTATATTTGTGTGAGGGTTGGGATATTACCCGAGCGCCCAAATTGGAACATGGGGTCTCCTCGGGGGACCACACACCAAGCCCTTGACCTAGAGAGCTAATCCACAAGGCAGTAGAATAACGTTAGGAAACACGTTTCCATGGAAGCTGTTATAACGTGAAAAATGAATGCTCCTGGTTAAGGGTAGCGAATTATTGATCGGACCAAAGACGCACAAACACGTAGAACGACCTAGGGTTCTGATTGGTCTCGCTTCCCTGTATAGCCCAGCCAATTGAGTCCAGAACGCAAGTCACAGCCTCGGATATATGAATCATTATATTTCAAACATGCTTTGTTTATATACCAGTCAAGCAGTCCACAACGTACCACAAAATAGAAATAACATTGTACAATATTGGCCAACAGGAAAATAACACGTTAAATAAATATTGGCCAATAAGATGATACTATTTCATGTCCAAGGATAGCATTAGGCTTAACAGGATAATTTCTGGGATATTTTCCTGAATATCCCAACAGAAGCCAATAACCAAAACAGGTTCAAACGCCTTTTGTTTCATCGGGAAACTAGATCCCATGTGCACCATTAGTTTGAAATTAGGGGTTCCTAAATTCGTCAGGTGGAATTTTCGTACCCACCAATCCGGTTTAAGCCTCGGATATTCGCTTATTGTCCTCTTTATTTCGTAAAATAGCACTCCGGGGGCGAGAAGATAGTGAGTAGGACTTCCCAGGCAGCGGCATATGAGAGGATGTCGAGAAGGAATAGCGGATTTTCCCCACCCTCAAACTTAGCAGGGAATTCGGGGACCGATTCTGTGTGACACTTATTTGATCTCAACATTGCTAGACGTATTCTCCATAACTTGTGCTCTTTCGTCAAAACTGGAATGATGACTAAAAAACATTATGAATCTTCGGGTAGGATTATTGATTGTTATTGATTCTTAATTGAAAACCAGATAACTTTTAAATTGATCTCATGTACCATGTGTAATCTTAATAAACAACGTTTTTAAATGAGGAAAACACAGCCGGTAACCTACGCAGTTCCCTTTGTAATCAAGTAAGCGAATTTAAGTTTATGATCATCCCAGTGTAGGAGCTAACAACATTGGTCAGTTGTCTTACCATCCTTATAACTGGAGATGAAGCGATATAGTTGTCCACACTGTGGTAAATGGGAAGCATTTTGGGCCCCTGATCAAATATCTTTGTCATGCTTTTAGACCAGTGATTCACAATTTACTTTATTCATGCTGATTTGAAAAGCATAGAATAAACATATACTAGTTTGTTGTAAGGATTTGGAGTTTACCGTTGTTAATCTGGCATACTGAATAAAGCATTCTTTAACGGCTTATGCACCTACTAAAACAGGTGACTCAATGTTGCCTGAATTCATTTGTTGATTCTAAGTTTTGATAGCAACTAGTAATACAACGCGGGACGCGTAGCACATCACAATTCAGACTCATCGTTAAGAATATCAGTACTGTGGTGCAAGAATAGACACTGCATGAAATGACAATGAGCCATAATAAGTGAGAAAATTAAGAAAATCTAACATCAGAAGAAAATTAATTGACTATGATATTGCGCATAATTTTTGTCTGAAATTTTTCTTACTTGTAGCCAATTCCACTAAAAGGCGATTGCTTTTTTGATTTACTTTTGTATTCATTGTATTGGTGTGTATCCAACACTTCTGCTCCTTTACCTCTAGCAGCTTGAAAAAGATTACGGATGAAAACGTCGGGAGTTTGGGAAGGATCATGAGTTCTTTTATTACCATCGCGTCTTGGAGGACCAAGGACTTGTTGGCCACCACCTCCAGTCTCCGAACCGCCAACATAAAATGCCTGTCCCTTATCTGATTCATCATCACTAAACAAAGAAAAATGGAATAGCGTTATCATTACGCAACTATTTTGTTTTGACAAATGGAAACGATTAACACGAAACCAACGACAATCTGTGCTGTAAAAGGTTGATACTAAATGTGTCCGCAAACTAGTGGAAAGGAGTTCGATTATGGGGCAAAATTGTAAGCAAACACGTGTCATATGACTAACACTCAGGGTTGCTACATTCATGACAATCAGTAAAAATAAACTTGTGGACCCCAGAAGAAAGCTTGTTTTTTGATGACATAAGTTAAATGTCCTTGATAAAAAAGGGTTAACTGAAACGAATTAATGACCATTTTACAAACTTATTTGGTCGGTATACAAGAAGACCTATCTAGTTTTATGTAAAGGCCGACACATTCATCCCACCAAGTAGCACTTTATAAAAAAATAACAAAGTAGAACTGTAATTGGCTCATCATTTCAATTTAATGATACAATTAATAAAGTTGACGAATGTGGTACTTATTTAACCTTTTTACAGCATTTAACTACCAAACTTTAATACTACAGGACAACAAGGGAGCATTTCCAAGTGACAGAAGAAGCGAAACAATTTTCATGAGCGAAAATCAATAAGTACCTCCAAATACGTTTGCACAGCTGACTATCAAGAATAAAGAAAAAAGGCACAGATTTGTGCTTCAAAACACGGGACAAGAAAAAGAACTTAACAAACAAGGTTAGTAAAAATAACAAGGCAAAGCTAAGCAGTACAAATAAACATACGTAGTAGGATCTAAAACAAAGAGGGAATCCCCTTACGCTATTCAAACCGATTAAGACCCATGTCATACAAAGCCTGTGTTTTTCGATTTATTTTCATTTATTCTTTATTTAAACACAAACAGTGGTACAAGAAGGCACTAAATATATATGCTCAACATAAATCATTCGATTTTTGTGAGGGCTGGGATATTGCCCGGATGCCCAAATCGATAGATTTACTCAGCCAACAGACCATTCTTCTACGCTGCTCGGATCAACAGTAAACTAGGAGCCAACTGCCTCAAGTGCTCCACCTATCTACTCGTATATCACTCAGCATCATAGGCTATTTGGGTCGTAGTAAATAATTCATTTTATCCAACAACCTAATACTAATAGACGTAGTCAGATGTCATGAATGATGCAAGTCCTACGTAGTTGGTTGACTTATGAATAATTACGGTTGAAAAGAAATTCCCCGATAAATTACTAGGTCAAAGGACTCAGCTACTTCATTTACTATTTTATGACGATGTAGAATTATGAATTACCTATTGTTTCAGTGATATGAAACCTTTGCCAAACTCTTGAAGATTTTTACAATGTTAAGCAAACCACATATTTTGATAGCATCTGTGCAACTGCATCAGCACATACTTTACTAGCAATATAAATTGACTAGTTTCTTTTGTCACACACTGTGTTGACAAGGTCACTTACCATCCTCATACAAGAAAACGAACTAGCGAGTGTGCTTGTACTTCAGAATCACGTGGAAAGAAATATGATCGATACATTCATAACTACGCCATAAACCAGCTGATTTCTAGCTCTTATCAGATGGTTGACTGGTTCGACGACTCTCCAATATTAAAATACAGCCTAATACATTCAGTTAGTTTAACCAGTTATTTCTTACTTTTAGGAGCAAGCAGTTAAATGTTGCTAAAAACTTCAACGTTAGTAAACCCTAGCTTAACTGAATATGAACGATCGACGTCAACGACTTATTGGTTCATTGAAATAAAAAGACTATAACTACAACAAATACACAAGGAGCAGTAGACTCGCAGTTAGATTAGATTGCAATATTTTGACATTTCACTTGAGATCCGCAGAAAAGTACAGATGAGCACTGGGTAATATCCTAACCCTCACACAAATATAATAATAACTTCAACTAGAATAAATTACGCTTGCGTCAATCCTCATTCTCATAAATTATACTCATAACTATTCGGTTACGTTCGTCCTTCTTTTATATTGCATCACTTGTCTGTTCCTTCCTATTTCCACTTCATGAATTCATTTATTTTTCAGCTCATACAGCAGCTCGCCTATGTTAGAAATCCCGTTTTATCGAAACAATCTTAAGTCACTGATTGAATGAACTATGAACCAGCCTTTTGGAAACCACGTACACCATTAAAAATGGGTTCCTTCAACGTTCCCACACTAATGCAGTTCGAACTGCAGATAGGGTTGACTATGTCTTTAGAAAGTCTTAACGTCGATGTCTATTGTCTGTCTGAGAACCGCACTCAAGAATCTAGTAAAGTACTACAAATTCGCTCTCCATCTGTCGCTTGAAAAAGCTTGTTTCACGTGCGTTTATCTGGGCACTGTGATATCTTCGTCTAGTTTTGCTGGCGTTGATGTCGTACTTAGCGCTAGGGCTGAGGCAGCACTAATAAACACTCAAAACATCTGTGAAAATATGATCAGATACTTGGAGCTCGAAAGTGGAATGGAAATTACGGTGAGACTACAATTTATTTGATATGTTCAAACAAACATGTTCGTTTAAATTGACCAAAATAAATAAGACAACATATAATCTTACCTATCATTTTCTAGGGTACTCAGAGTTGCTATTTTAGGCTTGCTGTGAGGTGGTTTATTATATGTGGAAACTGAAGGCTCCTTGTTGCTTTTATTCAGTGGTTCAGTACCTTGGTCGAAATGAGAAACATCGCTTGAATGAACACCATCCTCAGAATCGAAATACGCTTTGACTGCCTCCTAAAACAAAGTATCAGTTCAAACTCCGCTATTCCTACATCGCAATTCCAATCGAAAGCTTCTAAAAAATGTTTGGCTTCCATTTCAGACGTCCCAGTAATACTGCAAAAGTTTTCGATGACAGAAGGGTCCATCTGAGTGAAAAAAAACAAAATCTGTGACAGATTACAGGCAAAGTAAACGTGTAGTTGAAACGAAAAGCAGACCAAACACACAAATAACTCAGGATACTTTGTAACATATGCAATAGAAATCACTACTCAATCACTCCTAACTGTTACGCACCTTTTAAATTTTGGTAAGCCTCATGTGTCCAATATCTGCCAAACGAAACCGGTTGAGATAATTTTTTTGAAGTAAGATTACTTACACTTATCACACCTGGATATTCACTGATAATGTTTTAATTGGTGATCTGTACTGGCGAATCCGACGACACTAATCATTCTTGTGAATCGTCAGTTTACGCAGTTTCGCGAATCTTCTGCAAATTGAAAACAACATCGTCGCCTCGATTCCGAAACTAACAAGGTTTCGCACCAGTATCATTGACATGGGTCCATACTGACACTTTTGGTTCCTTTTATTCGCTTCGATATACTTCGGTTTGCTTGTCGAATAAATAAGCATCACCCGCTGCTTATTTTTCTGTAGAGACAACTTTGTAGCAGGAAAAATTAATCCCAGAAACAATTGATTTCGTGAGTCTTCGGCACTGATGCTGACCTCATTAGTTTTATCGGACACATCTAGCTGAAGGCTCTCGGTCACGCATCCGCACCAGATCTTGAATTCGTTCACCGTACTGCGCATCCCTTGCAACCACCAGCCATGCCTAGACGAAAAGCATATAAGGAAATCGGTAGCCTTTAAAATATATCTTCGAATCTCTTCATTGCTCATTTGACAAGGATGAGATTTCTCGAACATAAAGGTGTTACGTGTAAAGGCGTTTTCAAACTACGAATACCTGTGATAACTTTAGTGATGAGAATGACGTTACCAAGCATAGCTATTCGCAAACGCTGAGTCTGTATCTCGTTGGAACATTGTATACCATTTTTCAATTTTTATTTTTACAGACTGTTATATTGTTCTCATGTTATCAGGTATTTTCTTTCTCGTCCACTGCCATATCATACCTTTACGACAAAACAGACACCTAAGCTGTTTAGGATTTAACCTCTTTCATGTCAAACACTTAAGCTAATTCCATTCTGACCTGGCAATACAAAAATCCCGTTTTACTACACAGAAGCTGACTTCCACAAGCACAGAGTGACAGACCTACGTGCACAACTTTTCGTAGTTGTGAAGGCATTACCGCGCGAGTTCCACAATTACTCGAAGCTCAATATCTTTACTAGTGACTTTTCGGAACCTTATGACACTTTGGAGAAGGCTATGCTTTAACGCTGAGACCTCTGAATGACAAGGTTTGCACCAACTCTTCCACAGCACTAAATCGCATTATGGCTCGGCGACAGAAATGTTGCCACGTATGTGTGAGGCCAATAGTCAACGGACATTTGATGAGGTCCTGTTTACACAGCTCTTGTCGTCTAAGCTTCCCTAACAGGTGAATGCAATCCTTGTCTGATTACAAATTGACGTCGTAGACGGACTGGCTACATCTGCCGGCCGGATTCTGGAAATTACCAGAACCCCCAACGTCGAAGTTTATTCTGTCAAAGAAAGTTCTCAAACGACACAAGACGACATCACAGACCACTATCAAACTCTCATATGCTGTCTCGATATTCATCGTAATCGTGGACGCTCTCAAACTCCTCTAAGAAGCTCGTCACGAGGAAGATCTGTTACCGGACCACGAGCGACTGATTATCTTGATTGGTTCTAGCACCACGATAAATGTTGTAGGTCTTCTAGAAATTGCGGAAAACCTAGTCTTCAAACCATCCAACACGAAATCTCTTAGGCAAACTTCCCAGCTGGCACGCATTTACGACAACCGTAGCCGGCAGACACAGCTGTATGTTGTACGTAAGTGCGTTGACGAAAGTCCTCTATCTCGTCAACACTGGAGCGGATGTTAGCGATCATCCTGCGGATTCCAACGACCAATTGAGTGAAGCACTTTTGAACTGACAGGTAGCAAATGAGGAACCGATTCCTACATACTGTTAGCAATGTGTGCACCTTAATGTGAGTTTACGCAAACCCATTCACTGAATTTTCCTCGCTGCAGATGTTTTTATGCCAATCATTAATATAGACGTAGGTTAGTAGATGGAAATAATAAATTATTTGTTTTCATAACTTCCTTTTCTGGTTGTAGATTATCTCCAGTCACAGTAAGGCACACAATCAACTCATTCAATCAACGGATACACGAACAGGTACATTGAACTGCACCAAACGCACCTGAAACTATCTTGTGTAATTATAAATGTTCCGCATCACACCACGACTACAGGACCACCTATATTTTTGGAGGCTCATCGGCTCATTGCATTAGATGTGCCCAACTAAGTAATCAAATGAGTCCTATAACAGTAGGTAAGCAACATCTGGCAGTCTTTGTCATTCTTCTCGAGACGATTGCAAGATACTCAATCGAGGTAAAACACTTTCGATGGGGAACCCCTAGCCATGTATTGTACCGTACGACACTCTCAACGCCCTATGGAAGGCCGAGAATTAACACTGTTTACCGACAATATTCCTCTCACCTTCCTTTTAAGCTCGTTCTCAGGCAAGTACTTCACTTGAAAGTATCGGCAACTCGACCACATATGACAGTTCACTCAGGAAATAGAACATATTTCTGAAGCAAATAATATATAAATTAGAATATTTTCAAGGTATCGACCTTCTTAAACCCACTCAACTTCAAAAAAAACATTGACCTTCAGCATGAGCTATCTTCAACAAACCTGAAACCACAAATCAAACAGATGGAAACAGGCGAGAGGACTTCACTATGTGACACAACTACATTTAGGAATCGTACAACCCTACCTAAACATCATTGACTCAGCGTCTTCAATACCTCTCACAAGCTATCTCACACAGGTGTTCAAGAAACCATCGACCTCATCATGAAACGATTTTGTTGGCCTGGTATGAATAAGGACATGAGAGAACTGCCAGAAATCCAAGGTGGAAAGACACAACAAATGTTCCTCAGGCTCTTTCACAAATCCCGAACATATTCATCTGGAGTCGGTAGGACATTTGCCAGACTTCAAACGGATGCTGTTGTAAAATTATGGTCTACTATGATATTAGTACTGCTCTAATAATAGACATAATCCTAAAATTGTAGATTTGTCATGATATAACTGCCTAATCTATAAGATCTTACGTGGAAGTCACACCATCGACTACACCAACCCACTGTATGGTATCAATTACCAATACATGATGTAGAACAAGGTTAGGCTAGAGAAAGAACAATATATTTAATATGAATAGGAGATATAAGATAACATCCAGCAGGGACCACGCCTGCATGGCCGAGCCATGCCACTCGATCAACTCAGTCCATTCAATTCATTCTCTGCGCCTTCTCCATTGTTAGGCATTTCCCCGAGTTAAATATTGAATATCTATTTTCTGAGTAGTCTCGTGTTCACAGCTTTGTGGATTGTGTGGCTATTGTCCAATGCCACTACACTCTCACCTCTCAATGTATGCGTCGTTTCACATTATGGCCAGGAACAGTACTCATCACGGATATTACTGTTGAAACAGTGGCTCGTGCCTTCATCGAACGGTGGGTAGCAAGCTTCGGCTGCCCTTTAACTATCAATACAAACCGTGAATGCCAGTTTTAATCTGGACGTTTCCATTGTTTTATTTCAGTAATAGGAATCACAAGACTCTGAACAACGGTCTACCACCCATCAGCGACTCGGTTAGTGGAATAATTTTGACACCCATTTGAAACTGAACATATGAACTGAAACCGCGTGGCGATAACCCACGGTCTTAGGGTCACGACCCACCATTAATCATAGAACATTATGAGACAGAAGTAAGAGGGAAGACACTTCCTCAGTGCTATAGTTGTTCGCCTTTGCCTGTGTAATGTTCATGTTAGCACACTTGACCCCGTTCACAAACATTAACCATGGTTTAGACCAGATAGTTAAAACTCTATTTTTCTTCCCACTAGATCAACAAATTTGAGCTATTAACTAAAAACATCTAGGGCTCCTCGTAAAATGACCTCAAATCAATCGTATTTAGTTGGTGCAACATACGAACAAGTCATCGTGAGTTGGAACGATCAAATCGATGACATTTCTGAATGTCTCAGTTCGGCAATTTAGCTTCGTGTACAGAACATAATCTTCAGTAATCATCATAAGAACAATATCCAGATTCGTACTGTCACATCAATAATTTTTTTACCTAAACTCATGAATTTTGCGTGAAAAAATGTCTAGATTTCGATGTGTTAATTTAGTTCTGTCTCATCGATCGATATTTATGAAAATTTTACGTTTTCAAAAACGTCTTCTTTATATTGCTTATAGGTGTGAACTCTTTTGTTACTAAACATATGAGATAACCCTAACCAGAAAGATCAAAAGCAACTAATCTACTACATTTTACTCGGTGATGTCGACAAACAGTGAAAACTCACAACGAAAGGATTGTCTAATTTTTCCTATTCAACAAAACAGTGGTGAGTCGATGAGTTTTATCTTTACCCAGGTATTTCTTAATAGCTTAACCTTTCGCTAACGAGAGCCTTTAAAATTAACTACATTGTAATCTGATATGTCATGAGTTAAAGAGCGAATATGAAGTTTACTTGCATCTGCGGTGAACTCTCACTCTTAAATTTTAGACACATGTGATAGGTACAATGATATTTTGACCCATTGCACTACAAAAACTTCCCGGGATATTTCTAGCTTCTTAAGACATACCGAATTGAATGGGGTGCGTGAATTACAAAAGTTCGAGGAAGTGTATATATATATATATATACAATTGTAGTAATTCTGATAATATGTTTAAGGCTGAATGCAATTTAGTTGATACAATGTCATACTTATCTGATTACCTCTAGGCCCAGAAGAACTTTTAAAAGAACCACTAAATATATCAAACATAATAATCAGATAGTAAAGAACCAGGTTTATTAATGTATATGAGA